GGGGATGGTTGGTGGATGTGGGGCACTGGGTGGTGTGTGGATGTGGAGTCCTTTTGTGGTGGGGCCCATAGGGGAATTTGGCACAGCACTGGGAGAGAGGAAGAGATCATCTGCCCCAGGGGTCCCAGTGTGAATGCGGGTTTTGGGGAGTGGAACAGTTATAGACCTGAGGCAACAAGGAAAAAACAGTCAGTCGCTGTCTCCTCTTCACAACATGTAAAAACAATGGGGAAAAATCACCACTTGCTGTGTGTGCCTGCGCAGGGCAGTAAGGGGCCACAAGATTATCACGGAAGCTGTAAGCTCTTTGGGGAGGGACTGTTTGTGCATACAGTAATCTGGCACAGGGTGGGATCTCCTCCAGGATTGGGATATCTAGGAGCAACCACCGTGTTAATCAGAAGCCAGGAGCTCCCTCACTTTTCTGCAGGGGATGCTGCCATTTGGGGTCACAGCACTGGTGGGAGAGCTGCTTCTGGCAGAGCCCCTATTCCTATTCCTGTGCAGGTGAGGGAACAGGAGCAGGAGGTGAGTGCAACCTTAGCTCTACTCCTAGGGGAAAGGACAGTTCAGCTGAGCTGGTGCAGAGGGTGGAGCTAGCTAGACTGTTAATAGCAGAGGCCAGTAGCAAGGGCAGCTCACTCCCTTCTCTGCTCCACAGGCAGTATAGCTGTGCATTGCCCTTCACCCAGGGCAAGGCGCATTGCTTCAGTCTAGCCCAATGCCCATTGCTTAAATGTAGATGCCAACATTTAAAAGCCACTAATAAAAACAATCCAAGGAGCAAGGGAAAGGGATACACTGTTTAACCCCTCTTCAAAATGCATGCTGCTAGAACAAGTTATTGCAGGGGGGAGAGGGATTAGATCAGCCTTTCTGAATATGAACAGCTGTCCTGAGCATATGCCATACAGACTAATCCATGTGTCACTCTGAAAACATTTTTTTTCAGCTACACTCAGCAGTGCAGAATTAAATGCACACAAGAGACACAGCTCCCCCCTCCTTTAAGTTCTGATCCTCTGGATAAAGTCCCCTAGACCGTGTTCAGAGGAGGAGTGCATCCTGTATGCCGTTTGTAACAGCCCAGCCAGAGCTGTGCAGCAGTTACCAGTATAACTGAAGTCC